CGAGGTGCGTATCAAGCTCTCGGTGGGTTCGAAATAGAAGAAGTTCAGTGTCTGAATCTCATGGTACTTGGGCGACTTGAGGATATCGATGGACACGCCGTGGGCTTCTCCAGTTTCCTCATCTACCGCGTGGAAGAAGTTTAGTAGAAGCACGAGCCAGCGTGCGACAATATCAACTTCTTGCATCGTCAGAGGCTTTTGGTGAGAGGGTTTGTCTGATAGGGGCGGTACTAGCAAACTCTCAATGGTAGCGAGGACCTCTTTCCACAATCGTGCCATCACCATCTTCATAGCCTCGGAGGTGAGAGTCTTGTTCATGATAGCAAAGTTATCGTTAAAATAATCAAAAAGGGGCGTCAACGCATTCTCCACATCCGCACTCGAGGGTGTGGCGGTGCTCGATTGAGCACGGTTCCGATTGAGAAAGTTGGAAACACTTGAAATGCTGAGCCCTCGTGACAGGAGGGATTTGAGGGTCCGGCGCGACAAACAGTGACTAATGTACGCAGACAGCTATGGAGATATTACTAGAGTGTTCTGCGGAGTAGGACGTATCAGTACTCACCTTTTCTGTGATCTTGCGCGTCATGTCTCTCTCCGTCCGCTTCAACGTTCGGAAGGCCTTGCCAAAGTAAAACTGAATGTCATCACGTTCTCCTTCCATGCTCACACGAAGCAACAGTCTGCCCTGGGTATCTAGATCCAGCCAATATTCTCTCGGAAGAAAGTCACTGAAATGTACAGGATCAAGCTTGATCGACGTCCGCCCAACATAGTCGTGATCGCCTACTGCATCCCAATCCCATATGGTGGCAATGATGTTTAGAGGACCCTGTGTGGTGATATCTACTGCATCGTCCCACCGTGGGTTCAGGTTGTTATAGATGATGCGAGTCTTCGCAATGCGCTTCTGATATTCATCAGCCAGAACGACGTAAGGATCACTGCCGCCGTTCATATCGCAGGCTTTGAGATCTTCTGCCTCCACGACCTTGATGGTAAAGACATAGGTCGTCGACTTGCGTATCTTCTGTAATTGAGGTGCCGCATGTCTTGCTATAACCTCTGCGCAACCGTCCACGTTGATTTCTTGCTCAAGCTTGTCAAGCTGTGAAAGTGCATATTCGACATTGTTAAGTTTGACTAAGGACTGTAGTGAATGATACGGTTAGTGATGCTCGAACAAGGGATTTCAGACGAACGCACCTCGGGGAAGAACTGGAAGGGCTCAATCTTCTCTTTACTTGTCCATGCTTCTTTAGCGATTTGCATTAGCTTCTCTTGAGCCGTTTGATTCATAGCAGCCTCCTGATCCGGAGAAAGACGATCCATTTCCTTCGCGAACATCTGCTCCAAGGATTCGCAGTATCTCGCGACACCGCTGCCGATAGACTTGGAGAGAGCCGTCATGAATTTAGCATACTGCAAGTCGTCGTCCCACTCCAGTTGTATCATTTGTTCCACCACCTGGTTGAAAGAACGGAAAATGTCAATGACAGACACACTGTGTCTGTAATCTTCAGGTATCTCTTCCGCCGAGCCATCGGCTCGGACGTTGAAGGCATCCTGTTTAACTGCCTGCTCCACCCAATCCATGACCTTTTGGTCCGTCAGGCGGATCCACCGCCAAACAAAGTTTTCCATCAAGCCTTCTACATGGAACGGAAACGATACGCTAAGTACTGTAATCAGCATCCGGATTTGTGTCAGGTCGAAGGAGCTGTTTGGGGGACGTACTCAGGCAATGCTTCCGTAAAAAGACGACGGACATCTGCGAGTCGACGGTAGAGATCAAATCCATCTTGTATGTCAGTCTCTTCCCCTCGAACGTTCTCCAACTCTATTATTCGAGCAACCATCTCGTGAGCGTCTTCCGCAAATATTGGAAGTACATTGGAGAGTAAAATTAGATAAGGATTGACCCTAAGTTTCAATCAGTGTAAATCAAAAACGGCTTGCATTGGTGATGACATCTCTTACCCCATGATCTCTGGATTGTTGCGATAACGCTTTCGGATCTTCTGCGCCAGCTTCGTGATCGCATCACACAACTGAATCACATGGTCTACTTCCCACTCTTCTGGCTGCACCGGGATAAGCTGCCCCAAAAGTTCTTGATATCTTTCCGAGGCTTTCTGCGCCAGTCCATCCTGCACGTACGAGCGGAAGCGATCGATATCTTCCAGATCTTCGGTATAGCTGGGGTCCATCTGAATGTGGGTTTCCAGTATGTACATCACCGGACCAATCGGACGTGGTTTAGTTTCGTAGCAGTCCATCATCACATCATAAAGTTCTCGTAGAAGCGCCTCGTGAAGGGAGGATAATATCTGTTGCATCAATAGAAGATCGTGGATGGTCCACTTCTTACGGTCGAACAGAACCGACGCCACGAAGCTACTACGCTTCCTGCCGTCTGAGTTCGGCGCTTCCTTGACAAATGCGAATGCTGAGTCGAGGGTGTCAAGATCGATTTCATTGTCAACAAATTTGGACCGCACAACATCCAGAAAGAGAGCCATTCTTGAGAAAGCAGGAACACGCCAGCGAAGACAGATCTCATTTAAGAGCTCAGTCGACTGCTTTGACAATAGCTTCATAAGGGGTGCCTCTGATGTAGCCTGAGAGGCCTCAAGTTCACGGTCCTTCAGGTCGTGACTAAGAGCTTGGGCTAGTATAAACCGATACATGGACCGGGGGTCCTGGGGTATGTAGGTGTATGTATCAGATTCGTCCGTCCCGTTCATACCATCGTCAGCCAGGGACAATGAGCTGAGATCCACGGGCTGGTCTATAACGTATGATGACGGTCGCTCGGAATTTGTTCTCGAAAGCTCCCCTGCTGGATCTTGGTCCGCAGCGCTCGGGTTGAATTGTGGAAGGGCGCCTCCAGGGGTGCTCTTGGCCAATTCAGGATTAGATTGCACGATCGCAAGCATCATCTGGGATAGATCTGGAGCCTCGTTCTTCTTCCACAGCTCGTATGCTTCATCATTCTCAAAGTCTTCCCGAGACAGCGTTTTTCGAGTTTTGAGGGTTAGATGAGCTTGGTAGGTCTTCAAATCTCGCAGGGCGGCCTGTCCCGTCCAGACGCCTCGATTATTATTGATATCGGCTTGCAGCTGGCCCTGGTTCACATCGAAGATTCTGGCAACATGCTGCACGAGGGGCATGTCTCTGATATCGTAGCTTAACGGGGCTATAACTTCTACGCTGGAGGTGCCATTCGTTTGCACAAGATCCTGATCCTGAGACAAAAGTTTGTTCTCTAGAACCGCCAGTCGATTGGCCAGTTCAGGCCGTTCTTTGGCCCAGTCGTGGTCTTTTAGAATAAGTGCAAACAAACGGACAAAAAGAGCCACGTGTCTGTCCACCATGAATCTCCAGTGATCATCATCGGGTTCCTTCCCTTTGCTCAATTCCTTGGTCGCGTTCGAATAGAAGATCAGGACGAGGTCTTCGGCCCGCCGATCCTTTTCCATGCGCTTCTTGAACGACTGATCCTTCAGAGTGTTGAGAAAAGCAGCAAAGGTCCTCACGACCAGCGGATCTTGGTATTCTTTCCGCTTCTCTTTCCCAATCAGGACCCCAGTCAGCCTCTTCTCCAGCTCCGATATGAACCCATGGGGAATCCGAGTGCTCTTCGAATCTCGCACGAGCGAGAAGTCGCTCATTAGATCATGAAAGGAGGTTGATGCTCTCTTGGGCCGTTGCGGAGCTGGAACAGTTTGGACCCGGCGCAGGCGTGGTTGGAGAAGATAGGCCAAGTAAGCGACCCGGAGCGCATAGGTGTAGGCAGTGGAGGAGTTTACGGGACGCCTGCGGGACCCAGACGGAGTGCGCGAATGGCGAGATTCATTCTGAATGCTGTTGATCCGTCGGTTGAGCCCTCGGGACTGGGTAGATGCTGTCGACATCGGAAGAAGAGGCGGTGTCGGTTCTCGCGGTCGGTGGATAACTCCTTTTTATATCTTGGGAAATCCTTAGAATAGATAGTGCAGTATTTAGAAGTGAGTAAGAGAGATCATGGGATAGACTGGTATTGTGATCAAACCAGCAACAGCATGGTCCTTGGTAAGGGAGGGAGTGCTGGTGGAGATAGCTGCCTCGCAAGGGTGACTTTCCGACGAACTCCCAGAACGTAAAGGCAAAAAGACCCGGCAGAGGAATAATACTTGGGTCGTAAGTAGAGAGCAAGCTGCAGTTGATTTTAGCCGGGCGGCTACACGAGAGAAAGGTAAGGAAGAAGGGGGGAAGGGGAGACGGTGGGGAGGGGGGAGGGGGGAGATGAGAAGTGGTGTGTTATTGTTGCGGTAGTTCAAAGGTGTTGTAGTTAGTGGTGGTTGGTGAAACAAAAACCGCTTGCGCCCGCCCCCATTTTAAGTAACATTTAAAAGGGACTGACGTAGGTAATAGTCGCCCTATACTGTAAAGTACATACAGTCTCAACAACTGCCCACCCTGGCTTGGATCTAATTGTAGGCATAGAGCCTGTTTCTAGAATACGGTATAGGGTGCGGTAAATCCTAAATAGAGACAGACAAAAGTACCAGGGCAAACACCAATACAAGAACCTCTCCTACTTTTAACAGTCCACAGCAACCAAAAGCAGTGACCCAGAAAAGTGCATATTGCGGGTCATGAGAGGATCGTGCAGACTGTGATTTTCTTCTGAAATTGATATCCCGACCGGATGAAGCTTTCCAGGAGCCATGCGATCCCATATGAGGGGCCCCCCCACTTGCCCAGTGGCCGAGATCCCCGTATAGGTCACTGTTCCATACATTCCCTGACTTAGTCCGCCCGCATTACGGCCGATGAATGACAGCAGAGCAGACAGTCATTGCGAATCACGCATCTGAGGCCTGCCTGAGAATTTAGCGATTGGGAAATGACCCTTCTCCGCCGTACCAATTTTCGCTGAAACCACGCACGGAAGGTTGAAAACAACAGCGAAAATCATATTGTACTTATTTACATCGCATCAGAGATTAATTCGATCACCACGAGTCTTCGCCAGATTTACGGGCCTAGAGAGCAGCCAAGTCACAGCAGTCAGTATTAATTGCGTAAACACACCAGGACAAAATGGGATGCAGTATCGACGTACGGGAACAGCCCTGGGTCCACCCAACTCCTTCTCCAAACCGTCGGGGAAGGTCCTGGGAACGCTGGGCTTATCAGGGTAGAAAAGGCTGACGGTTCCGCACAAGCCGAGGAAAGCCACGATGAAGGCTCCGATCTGAAGGATACCCTTGCCAGACGTCACATGGGTATATTGCTCAGGGCTGAAGACACCTAGAATTTCGTTCTCCTCGTGAACAGGCTCGCCGAAGTTGCGGCGTTCCTGCTTGTCCCACCAGTCGCCATAGGGATCTCTGAAGGCCCGCTTCATACGGGGAGGGTTCTGGTAGTTGCCGTTCTGCAAGCCGTGGAAAGATGGTGTCAATTCCGCTCGGCGGGCCAGCGATTGAGGATAAGGGTCACAGTTGTCTATCGGCTCATACCTGAAGGGGGTCATCAAGCTCCGGCGCGGCCAGACTGCGAAGCTGGGAGAACGAAGCACGAGGGACGGAGAAGCGGGCGGCCACCTGGGGCAGGCGCCGGGCCAAGATCCGTTGAGACAGCATCTGGTGAGATGTATTCGAGGTTAGCGACTACCCAGAGAGACAATTGAGACAATTGAAGGCACAGAGACACAGAGGCACATGAAGCGAAGCTTCCATGATAGCGATAGAGATGCGAGTTACTCACCTTTGGTGCTGTAATCAGTTATGGAGCAAGTCGGAAAGGTAAAAGTAGGTGAAGGACAGCGGAAAGGGACGAGGGAGAGGCTTGAGGCTCGAAGTTGAAACTGAAAGCGACTCCCGTCCAGCCATGGACGATGACGGGGAATCCAAGAGATATGATTGGTGGAGAGCAAAGGCGGAGACAGTTGATGGCCTGAGGCCGGAAACACTGAGCGAAGCTTACATACTACGTACTCTACTTTAACTAATACACGGCGCGCCCCGTCCGCCTCCAAGTCACCGGACGAAAAAACCACCTCTGCAACGCAATCACTCCCTCCGCGTAGGTTTTCGCCTGCCAGTCACGCTACAGGGCCGATAACTATGCCAAATTTCTCGTGGCACTTCGACTCAGTTCTCTCTACACGTTGATGTCATTTTCTCCCATCTCGACCGCGTCCTCGTTGGGAAAACTGGGGTCAGCTGTCCAGAGGGCCCCTGTCTCCGACATTACAAGAAATGCAAAACGGTAGTCCGAACGGAATTTTACTCCAAGATGAAAGCGTGACCCTTGAAATCGACGCCGTTCCGTCCGATGTCCTTCCCACGGAGCTTCCAACACCTTCTGCCACCCGCGACTTGAACTCTGCTGCTCTCCCAACTGAAGACGACGGGCCTGTCGCCGATCATCCTGACGGACCTCCATCGAAGAGAAGAAAACTCGCGGGATCTACCCCGTCACGTCGCTCGTCCTCCCGTCCAGCATCACCCCCGTGGAAGAAGGCTGGTCACGATGGACCGACATCCTTCATTCTGGATGGTAGGCGCAAGTCATCGCGAGTCAACGCGCTTCCCCTCGAGCTGCAGAGTCCATCCGACAAAAGACACACCCGTGCGGCTCAAAACAAGTTTGTGAGTAAGAATGCGTCTGGTAGCTCGAGAGGCGTCGCGTCGTCACCGTTTGCCACGCCGACACAACCGGAGCGGAATGGAAGGTCTATAGTTGGCGGCGCCGTAATCAATGGTTCTCCTCGAAGCACCACGACAAGGAGGTCTGCAGGGAGACATAGTCTGGCATCGCAATCGCCGGCACCCAAGCAGCTTCATACGCGTACACGATCGCACATATCCAGTACTTCGCGTCGTGTTTCCCAGGGCGCTGTCAACGGCTCCAACCGACACAGCCGATCCGCCTTGAATACGAGTACTCCCGCGACCTTGGAGGATGAGCATAATTTAGGCCAAGAATTCGAAGATGACGGGTACGATTGCCTCGGCGATTCCGACGAGCCAGTTCCACGTTTACGGATCAAAGTCAAGCGACCGATGATTGACATTCAGCATCCGTCTCACGTTTTGCCGCCCCGAAAATTTAACTCGTTCAAGGAATGGCTGGATAGCGATGATGGTAGAACAAAGGACCCCACGGTTCTCGCACCGGCCGACGCGCTTGAAGAGGCTCTGAAGAGACGCCGGGTAGCATTAGCGGCAGAGCCGGGGGGTCTTCTGAGCCCGGAGGTATGTTCTGCGTTCTTACCAGAGCAGCAGGAGGAACCGCCGCAGCAGTATTCTCATCAAGATCATCTCGTGGCCCACATCTCCTACTTCAAAAAGCTTCTCGATCAAGAGCATAGGCGTCACCGCAACACGGCAAGACTATTTGCGCAGTGGTGTGCTGATGCATGGAGGAAGCGCAACAAAGACCCCGAAGATATCCTTCGGGAACAACAAGAGGAGATGCGAGGAAAACGTAAACAGATGGCCAAGGATCTTCAGAAGATGTTTGATCTAGCACGAGCCGAGGTGGCTAGGATGCGTTTAGCACGCTGGGAGGAAGAGCGAAAAGCCGAAGACCAACAGGCGTTGGATCGTGCTATAAAACAGTCAACAATGCTCTTTGAAAAGCGACGCCTGGAAATCCTTGGCGAAACCGGGAGTGACGCCCTTGACTCAAGCGACGGAGAGCAAGCGGAGTCAGATGGCCTCTCAGATGACGGCGGCGGCGACGACGACGACGAGGACAATATGTCCTCCTCGGACTCTGAGAGTGAGGAAGATAACGATGTTGATGATGATGAGGGCTTAACAGCCGAGGAGCTACGGTTGAAATACGCCAACCTCCCGGAAGCTACAGTTGATTCCGATCACGACTCCGTGGTCGCTGATGACCCAGCCTCTTTCGGCGGCGGCGATATTTCAGATACTGATCACGTGTTAGACCGGGATGGTGGATGGGTAGACCCGCCCACAGACGCCCGATCCGATCAGTATATCGAACTTGAGGAGGTTGATCCAGTGCTTATGGACGACAGTGAAGACGAGTCCACCGATATGGATGATGACGACATGAGCAGCAGCGATGATGGGGATGAATATGACGAGGTGGATTCCGAAGCAGAAACTAACAATGGGCCTGGATTGTTGGGATTTTTCTCGGCTAAGGATATTGCCTTGGAACAAGATAGTGATGGCGACGAGGTTCCCTCCGATTATGACTTAGAAACGGATGCAAAAACAGCATCTGCTGGTGAGGAGGAAGATGAGGAGTCGGAAGACCCTGACGAGGTCTCTCTCGTACCGAATGGACCTGCAAAGGACTCACTCCCATCACCCGGGCTCCCTCAAACTTCCCCTGCGCCTGGCCTATCCCCCGGGCCTGCTTCTGAACCCATGCTTGAGTCCACTCCTGGTGAAAAAACAACGTCAGACTTCGAGATGACAGATGCTGTTGCCCTCGAAACCCCAGATCAGATTGTTGAACCTGAATTGCTACCTCGACCTGATAGCGTACAAGGCAATAATCACTCTGAATTGAATGGTTTCCCAAGCAAGGAGCCGTCCAGTGAAGCATCTCCGGGCACCATTGCCACGAAACCTTCTGAGCCGGAATCTGTTTCGTCATATGAAACGCCTGAACAGCAGCTACTGGCCAGCGAATCCTCAGCACCTGGATTGAAGACCCCCGTGCCACATCTGCTTAGAGGGACTCTGCGAGAATATCAACACTTTGGCTTAGACTGGTTGGCTGGCCTCTACACAAACAACATCAATGGAATTCTTGCTGACGAGATGGGTCTCGGCAAAACCATTCAAACAATAGCTCTGCTGGCACACTTGGCCGTTGAGCATGAAGTCTGGGGTCCTCACTTGGTGGTTGTCCCTACGAGTGTAATTCTCAATTGGGAAATGGAATTCAAGAAATGGTGCCCTGGATTTAAGATCATGACTTACTATGGCAATCAAGAGGAACGTCGGCAAAAGCGCAAAGGCTGGATGGATGATACCAGTTGGAATGTCCTGATCACCTCGTATCAACTTGTCCTACAAGACCAGCAAGTGTTAAAAAGGAGAAGCTGGCACTACATGATCCTAGACGAAGCTCATAACATCAAGAACTTCCGATCTCAGAGGTGGCAAGCACTGCTTACTTTCAGGACTCGGGCTCGCCTTCTACTCACCGGAACACCGCTCCAGAACAATTTGACTGAACTATGGTCCTTGCTTTTCTTCCTGATGCCGTCAGATAGTGATGAGGAGGGCATGGAAGCATTCGCAGATCTGAGGAACTTCTCCGAGTGGTTCCGACGCCCAGTCGAGCAGATCTTGGAACATGGTCGAGAGACAATGGATGACGAAGCAAAACAAGTCGTCACAAAACTCCACACTGTTTTGCGGCCATACATCTTGCGTCGCCTCAAGGCCGATGTTGAGAAGCAAATGCCAGCGAAATACGAGCATGTCGTCTACTGCAGGCTCTCCAAGCGCCAACGTTATTTGTATGATGGATTTATGTCTAGGGCCCAGACGAAGGAAACTCTCGCTTCGGGTAACTACCTTTCGATCATCAACTGCCTGATGCAATTACGGAAAGTTTGCAATCATCCGGATCTCTTTGAGACGCGTCCTATTTCAACTTCGTTTGCAATGCCACGCTCTGTGGTTACTGAATACGAGATCAAGGATCTTCTTGTGCGCCGGCGTTTGTTATATGTACATCCGCTCACAAAACTTGACCTGGATTTCCTCAACCTGGTTCCCATCTCCCGCGAGGATATTTCTCGCAGGTTAGCGGACGACAGTACAAGGCTCATGGCCTACGGCCCCTTCAACACGCTACGCGAACAGCAGTATCATCGCACCAACTGGCAGATGATCTTTGACGGCTCGAGTGTACAATCCACCTTGGATGCTTTGGAGAATGAGTCCAGGAAGAGGAGGATGGCGGAACTAGAGCGGTGTCTCTACTTCGAATCCAAACGGCACGGTCGCCGCCCTGTATACGGATCGAGTCTCATCGAGTTCCTCACGGCGGACAGCAAGCAGCGGCCGACTACCAATGGACCGTTGCGGAAACGCTCCCTGGCTGATTGGCTGTCAAGCCGCTCATCCGTCCTTGCATCGATGATCCTGTCCATTGAAGAACGGTCTCAGGTAATGGATGGCTACGTCCAGCGTTTTGCTTGTGTGACCCCTGCAGCAGTTGCTTCCGGAGTCACCGCGGCAGCCTTGACCCCCATCGAAACCCGACATCTTACCAATAAAGAACGCTTCCCGCCCTATGATCCGTTTCATGAAGCACAAATGCGATTATCAATTGCCTTCCCAGACAAGAGACTTCTGCAATACGACTGCGGCAAGCTACAACGACTCGACAAGCTACTCCGGGACCTCAAAGCGGGCGGACACCGGGCCCTGATTTTCACGCAGATGACGAAGATGCTCGATATTCTGGAACAATTTCTTAACATCCATGGTCACCGCTATCTGAGACTGGACGGCACCACCAAAGTTGAGCAGCGTCAGATTCTCACTGATCGGTTCAACAACGACGACCGCATTCTAGCATTCATCCTATCCAGCCGCTCCGGTGGGTTGGGAATCAACTTGACCGGCGCCGACAC